CTGCTGTCCTCATCTGCAGGCAAAGGTCCTGAAGGGAAATGCCAACACTGAGAAGAGAGGTGGCTTCCCCACCCCCATATCCGGCTGTCCAGGTGCCTTAGTGGGGGCCCAGCAACTGTCCCCACTGCTTCTGTTGGGAGCTGGACACCGTCAACAGGGTGGGCCTGGCACCCACTCACTGCCCCATTCCTGAGGCCTGTAGCCATCCTTTGCTGGTTGGGGCAGGGGACTGGAAAGGTTGGGGCTCAACCTTGGGGACTCATGGCTGTAGCCCTGGCAGGACCAGGGCAGGGGTGGGGGAGAATTCCACCCTTCAGCTCCTAGGCAGCCTGTCCCTCCCCCAGCTCTGGCCTCAGCAGGTGCTGCCTGGGGACCACAGAAGCCAGTTTTGTGTAGAGACTGCAGGGAACAGATGCAGGGCCCTGGTCCAGTGGGGCTCTGGCTGGGGCTGGGGCTGGAGACGCTCTCCCAGGCTCCATCTCCAGTGTTCCCAGCAGCTCCCCACTCGCCAGCTGTCCACCATGCTGGCTGTGGTCACCTCCGGCCCTGCCTGGCTCCTAGCCCTCCTCCCCCTGCCGGCACCCCCCTCACAGGTAGAGTCCCTGCCCTCTCAGCTGCCCCACTGTGCAGCCAGAGGCCAAGGCCAGGAAGAAGGCAGCCTGACAAGAGGAGCTGTGGCAGCTGCTCTGTGCTGGGTTCCCAGGGCAGGGCCCCTCCCAGCTCTGGGCCTCATCCATGGAGTGAGGAGTGTGGTGGGCAGATGCTCCAACCCACTAGGACCCCAGGCAAGGGCAGAGGACTCCTTGGGCCCCTACCTGCTCAGCTGATGAGCACCAGCCCCATCCTGGGGGCAGCCCTGGGACTGTGGAGGGCTGGGATGGGGGGGGCATGGGACTGAGCAGGTGGGTCTGGCGTCCTTTGGGACCCTCTGCCTCTCTCCTAGGTGACACCAGCCAAACATCCTAAAACCTGCTCACCGGGCTCCTGGGAGCCATGGAGTGGGGAGGCTGGATATCTGGACACATGTCATTGCTGCCCAAGGTCACACTGAGAATGTGTCTGTGCAGCTGACCACCCCAGCCTGAGGCAACTGCACGAGGACCATGATTTGATCTAGACCCCAGGTAGAGCCAGGGGCTGGAGAGAATGTCCTTAACAAAGGACATGGAAGACCCAGCAGGATGGCTTGGTTCAGGCTCTGGAATCCCTCTGGGGGCCTGAGTCCTGCCTGCTGGAGAATTTCCCCGTGTCTCAGGTCCACGGTCAGGAGGGGAGGGACAGGACTGCAGGAGCCAAGCCCTCTCTGGGTCCCAGGGAGGGGCAGGGTTTGGGGTACCCACCCCAGGGAGACAAGGGGCTGCCTCCTCATGGGTCCCTGGTGAGAAGGGCCGTGCTGGCAGCTTGCTGGTGGAGCGACATGGGCCAGGCTGGGGAGGGGAGGCCTGGTGCTCAGGCTGGGCAGCATCTGGAATCATCTGGCATCTGGAATATCAGCAAAGCCTCGGGGTCCCTGCTGCCACTCACCCCCAGGGCAGTGTCTGTGGGAGGTGGGTTAAGAAGGGCTGGGTTGAGAGGTCAAGGTCCTGAAGCCCGGTGCTTGGAGGGGAGTCATGTGTCCCTGGTTGTCCTTGGGGCCCAGAGAAAGTGATGTTGAGGCTGCAGAAAGTGGAGGAGTAAAGCTGCCAAAGCCAGTGGCTTCCTTTTTGGTCCTCACAAGCAGGAACCGGGAGGAGGAGGCATCTATGGTAGACGGAGCATGGTCCTGGGGAGGCCACGGGGCTTGCAGAGTGTGTCTGGGGACCCCCAAGGACTGGCTCCCCACCACCAGGTAGGCTCAATGTCCCTAGAGCAGGCCCAGGCACTTGTGCACCCACCTGCCTGCATGTGTCCCATCCCGAGGCTTTGTCACAAAGCTCTGAGGGGGCAGCAGGGAGAGAGGCTGCTGGAAGCTGCAGGCAGCCCTGGGCTGCGAAACAGCTGCTGCCTCAGTCTGCATGTGGGTGCATGCCCAGGGGACCGGGTGGGCCATGTGGGCCTGTGCCTGAGAGATGCCTGTGCCCAGGCAGGGGGGCCACTCCATCTGGGGCAGGCCTCAAGACATGCCCTGCTCTCTGTGAGCACTGGGAAACAGAGGGAACCCAAGGACTCCACTGCCCTTTCTAGTGGGCCTCAATGGGGTCCAGGCTCTGCTATCTGGATCCGTCCCTGAGGGGACATGTGGGGAGGCTGTGAGGGAGTCTGGCCCAGCTCTGTCAGGGACCCCACTGTGCCTGGTGTGTGTAGCTCACCTCTGAGCTGGGCAGAGGGCAGTGGCCTGAGGGCAGGACCCTGGGATCCCGGCCTGGCCTTGTCCCTGACTCAGAGCTGTCCCAGGCCTGGCACCTCACCCTTATGGAACCTCAGCACCTTTGCTGTGGATTGGGGACAATTGTCTTGTTACAGGGGCAGGTGAGGACTCAGTGACACATTGAACACCACAGTGGACACAGCAGCAGGCCACATGTCAGTCCGAGCCGTTATTATTGTGTGTCCCTGGGACTCGAGGCTCTTCCCTGCCCGCCCTACTCCACCTGTCCAGGTAGCCAGACTTGGTCATAACCTGGAAGGTGCTGGGCAAAGAGTCCACCACACCAGTGCTGGCCATGGCCCACTCCCAAAGACTTGAAGCTCAGCACCTGGGCTGAGGTTCTGAGGACCCCCCGGCATGGGCAGACCTGCAAACCTGAGCTGCCCTGCATAGAAGGTGCTGCCAGGACCTCTGGGTTCCCAAGGAGGTGGGGTAAGGCATCTGGGCCCCCAGTGGTCCTCATAGACTGGTGGGCTGCTCCATGCGACTGGACTCCTGGGCCGGTGCCTGGTTGGGGGCGCTGCAGGGCCAGCACCATCTCCTCCAGGCTGCTGTTTGGGGCAGTCAACCCCATGTGTTCCCGCTAGCTCTCCTTGCTGTGCCTGATGCCGTAGCCAAAATACACCACGAGTCCTGCAAGGGTGGCACAAGCCTGAGGGATAGGTCCCAGCCCTCTTCCTTGCTTGCCCTCCCACTGCAGGCTGCCAGGGTCCCAGCCTGGCCCCCACTCACCGATCAGCAGACAGATGGACAAGCGCAGCCAGGTCAGGTAGCTCAGCTTCAGCATGAGGAAGATGTTGAGGAGGATGCTCAGGGCGGGAGTCAGGGGCACCATGGGAACCTGAGGGGACAAGGGCTGGGCTGGGCTGCAGGGAAGGCCTGCTGACCTAGGGCCGGATTTCTTAGGAGTCCATAGAGCCCTTCTCTGCCTCTGGAGATTCCGGAGACAAGGGCCCACCCAGCATGCAGAGAGAGGGGTGTGGGGCACTGGCCTCCCCCACCCTGAGGCCCTGGTGCATCCTGCCACAACAAAGGAGGAAGGGGCGAAGGGAGCCGGCTGGGCTGAGCATGGTGGGTGCTGGCTGGTGGAAGTACCTGAAAGGTGTCCTGCTGTTTCTCTTGCTGGTGGGCCCCTAGGACGAGGAGACTGAGCAGAAATGTGACGGAGCTGAGAAGGAGCAGCAGGGTGTAGCCCCAGGTTGGGAGGTTCAGGGCCGAGTCTCCAAAGGCCAGCACACAGTCCAGAGTGATGGCCGAGGCCACCAGGACACCGAGGGCCCAAGCCACAGCGGCTCCGGGTCTGCACCCACCCAGGAAGCTGAGGTAGGGTCTCAGGGCTGATCGCAGCTGTCCAGGCTCAGGGGTTGAAGCCTGCTCTTGGTCCTGGGAGCTGGATGTTGAGGGCTTTTGGAAACGTAGCACGATAACGCTGATGGCCACGAAGGAATAGGCAAAAAGTACACCGATGGAGTGGAAGTGAACCAGTGCCTCCAGGTCTAGCAGCAGCGCCAGGAAAAGCATGAGTATCCCGAACACCAGGATGCTCACCACGGGCGCCTTCGTTCGGCAGTACAGGTGGGCAAACACCTGGAAGAAGAGCCCATCGGTAGCCATGGCAGAGATGATTTGTTGCAGGGAAAAGAGGCTGCTGAGCAGGACAGTATTGATGGCTGTGACAGAGGATGGGAGACTGGTTAGCATCATGCACAGGCATACCAGGGGCCGCTGCCGGGGGGCCAAGACATGGGTGGCCCCTTGGGAACATGGGCATGAGTTTGTCTTTGCTCTGAGAGAGACCCCGAGTGTATGTGGGTGCCAGATTGTTCCCCCTCACCACACAGGAATGGGACGCCCCAGTTTAGTTGACATACCCACTGGAGAATCTGATAAGGGTTGAGTCCCTCTGCCTGGAAGGATCTGGAAGCACATGCCCAGAACTGACATTCTATCTACAACTGGGAGGGGGAGTGAGTAGGTCTCTTCCCACAAGCCTGGCTGGAGAGTCTAATCATTAGCACCTTCCTGGGCCCAGGGTGCAACTGGGAGCACAGGCCCAGATGCAGATGTGTTCCCTGGAGGCTTAGGGCAGGGTCCCACCACTGTGTCCCCTCCCACATTGCCCAGATGGGCTCCTTACCGCAGATTGCACAAGCTGCCACGATGAAGCCTGCCCAGCTATAGCCCCGCTGGTAGAAGGCATCAGCGAGTGCCCAGTCAGGGTCCAGGTTTTGCCAGGGTACCATGAGGGTGAGCACAGTGGAGACGAGGATGTAGGCACCAGCCGCCAGGCCAAGCGAGATGGCAATGGCCATAGGCACTGCTTGCTTCGGGTTCTGGGCCTCTTCACTGGAGGCAGCAATGACATCAAAACCCACGAAGGCGCAGAAGCAGGTGGCAGTGCCAGCCATGATGCCGGCAAAGCCGAAGGGTGCAAAGCCGCCCTCCTCAGCACTCCAGTTGTGTGGGCGGGCCAGGACAAACCCCAGGATGATGATGAAGAGGATGACGACCAGGTTGATGCCAGAGAAGGTGTGCTTGAGCCAGGAAGAGACACGGCCTCCACAGGAGATGAATGTGGAGGCCAAAACTATGATGCCAGCAGCCAAGAAGTCTGGGTACTGGGCCAGGAAGGGCACCTGCCAGATGCCCACATGGGCCTCGGTGAAGCTGCTGATGCTGCGGCTGAAGATGGCATCCAGGTAGCCACTGCAGGCACGGGCCACAGCGGCACCAGCAGTGAGGTACTCTAAGAGCACATTCCAGCCAACGAGGAAGGCCCACAGCTCACCCATGGATATGTAGGTGAACAGGTAGGCAGAGCCTGTGCGGGGCACACGTGCCCCAAACTCTGCATAACATAGGGCTGCCAGCAGGGAGGCCATGGCAGCCATGCCAAAGGATATGAGCACTGCTGGGCCAGCCAGCTTCTTGGCCACAAAACCTGTGAGCACGTAGAGGCCTGAGCCCACCATGCCACCCACACCCAGCAGAGTCAGGTCCAGTGTGGTCAGGAGGCGCCGCGGCGGTGTCTCCCTGGGGGACTCCTCCAGTGTCTTCAGCCGGTTCAGCTTCTGGCAGAAGGGCACCAGGCCAGCAGTGCTGGGCAGCCCCCAGGCCATGGTGGGCAGCTGAGATGAGCACCAACCCACCTGCCGGCACCTACAAGAGCCAAAGGGGAATGACAGGCTGCCCTGGGTCCTGACCAGCCTTCAGTCCTTGCTGTGACCCTGCCCTGGGGACCCAAGCCTGGAACCACTGGCAGCTGCAGGGCTGGATGAGGCAGGCTGAGGGCCTGGCAGCAGGGTGGGCAGGAGGCCACAGGGAAGCATGGGGATCCCTTTGGCCTGCCAGTTGGGCAAGGGAGGGAGCCTGGTGGAGGCAGACTTCAGCATGTTTGGGAGGGGCCCTATGTATGGGGAGGGGGTAACCCCAGGCATCGCAGCCAGAAGTCCCTCTAGTTGTCTGGGATCTGAGAGCAGGGTGAAACCTGAGGCTTTCCCAGGGCTGGGCCAGGCCTCTAAGATCCCTAACAGCAGCAATTCTGTGGCCCTGGAATCTGCCCAGGCAGCCACCTGGCCTCAAACAGCTGTGTTTACTCCCTCATCCCGTTTGTTGGGCTGGTGGACCAGTGCACCCTGCCTGGAGTGGGGAGTGCCCTGGACCCTGTGCTGGAAGCCAAAGCCACACACGCAACCCCATGCACTGACACATCACGGCCATGCCACGTCCCAGAGTCAGTTCCACCGTGCCCCTGTCTCCAGGTACCAATGCTTTCCCCTCCTCTGAGAATGAGTTCATCCCTGCAGGACATGTTGCAACTCACTTGCTGTCACCACTGCCACTGCTCTGTACACTGCCCTTGCCCACACCCCAGGGCACCAGATCCAGCCCTGGGCACTGCCTTGTGGTCACACATGCACTCAGCCCACCCTGCCCACACCTCACAGCATCAAGACCAGAACTCCCCAGGTTCTGGGGAAGCCCTATGACTGTGCCCGGTTCACAGATGAGGAAGCTCAGGCCTCCAGGTAACTGACTAGCGCAGGTCACCAGGGTGGTCTGAGGATGCTGGTGAAGGTTAAGGTCCAGGTATGGGGAGGGGCTCTGGAGCCCACCTGCTTTCCACTGCTGCAGATGCCCTCCTTGACCCCTCATCCCAACACAAGGACTCTACCAGAGGGGCACCATCCAGGCCCCTCGACCCTGGGAGGTGTGGGGGCTGCGGGAGTCAGGCAAGACGCTGGTAAGATGAGGGTCTGAATGTGGCTGAGAGGCCCTGGGCTGTCCCTGACCTCTGGCACAATGGGATGGCAGTAAGCCACCCTCACCCACTGACGAGGGAGCGCCCGGCTGTGGGGAGTGTTCTGTGAATTGGTAGAGCTCGTGCTGGCTGTTCTGAGCTTCCAGCTACAGACAGTGTCCTGAAAGGAGGCAAGCAGACCCCGGGGGGTCACCTCCAGCCCTCCAGCTTGGGGCACCCCTAGGCCCCCTCAGACATCAATGGCAGCCCCTCCCAGCCCAAGAGCACCTGTCAAGCCTGGAGGACCTTGGGGACCCAAACAACATTTCCCCATTCATGGATATCCGTGAGAGGTGTCATGGACTGAGCATCTGCTCCATCCTAGTCCCTGCATCACAGGGACACATCACATCTCATCACGTGACCATCACAAACCCCCTCAGGCTTATTTATTCCTGGGGCTGAGGGGTCTTTGTCCTTCTGCTCTTCCCACTTTGAAAGTGGAAAGGCTGGTGTCACAGGGTGTGAACTTGTTTACAGCAAAATGAGGACAATCCATCCAAGCAAAGCAAAACCAAAACAGTCATCCTCTTACCCCAGAACTCTCTCCATGTTGTCAGGCTTCTATGTGGTTTGTGGAATAGGACATTAGGGGCACCTGCAGGCTGTCTGGCTCAGCGGGCTGGTGACAGGGTCATGGACTCCCAGACAAGAGAGTGCCACTTGGAGCACTCTGCCTTAGCCAGCCCCTTGCTCCCTTCTGGTATTTGGCTGATGTTGTCTTGAGGAGCTTCTCAGATGGGCTCCCACTTCCTGCAGGGGTGACCCCTCCCACACCTCGCTCCTGTGAGGCCTAAACATAACTGAGCAGAGTTCCTTGTTCTGAAACACCTTCACAGAAACCCAGAAAAATGCATTTCTAACCAAGAGTCTTGGACAGTTTTGCAACAGGAGCTCCCCCAAGGCCTACCAATGACCACCTGAAAGCTTTTGTAGGGTTTCAGAGCACTGACATTTTATCTACCCAGAGAGGGGTTCTCACCATGCTCCCCTTCACATCCATCAATATCCAATGGACATTTGTGGTCAAGCATGATTGACACAGTAAACTAAACTTCCAGGGACATGGCTGGGCCAAGTGCTGGACCCCACTAAGCAAGGCAATTAGACAGACCAACATATGAAGATGCAGTGAAGAGAAAGCACCAAAACTACAAGAAAAAGAAGAGAGAGCACTTCCCAACACATCCTACAAAGCCAGGAGCACCCAGACACCAAACTCAAAAAAGACATCACAAGAAAGAAAACTACAGAGCAACATCTTTTATGAATACAGATGCAGAATAGCTCAACTGAAGGCAAACAAATCAAATCCAGCAACATATGAAAAGGACCAAGTGGGATTTATCCCAGGAATGCAAGAGTGATTTAACACACGAAAGTCAATGGAATATGCCATACTAATAGACTAGACGACAAAAACCACATGATTGGCTCAACGGAAACAGGAAAAACTAGTCAATAGGCCTGGAATAGAAGGGACCACCCTCAAAATGATAAAGACCATCTATGAAAACCCCTCGGCTGCTGTACTCACTGGTAAGAGACTGAAAGCTTTCCCTTTGCTCAGGAACAACATTGGGATGTCCTCTCCCCACTTGTATCCAACACTTTACTGGAGGCTCTGGTCATGGCAATTAGGTGAGAACATGAACTAAAAGGAATCCAGGTTGGAAAAGAAGAAGCAAACCTATCTCTAGCCTGAGATAACATGATCTTATGTAGAGAAAATCCTACAAACTACACACAATAAATATTGGAAGTAACGTACCAGTTCAGCAAAGGTGCAGGATACAAGATCAATATATGATCTACACAATCAATCGTATTTCTATACACTACAATGAACTATCCAGAAATGAAATTAAGAAAACAATTCTGCTTACATAGCATCAAAAAGAATAAATTTATGAATAACCATACTTAGAATAAATTTTACAAAAGAAATGCAAAACTTGTACACTAAAACTACTAGAAATCTATGAAAAAAATTAAAGACCTAAATAAGTGGAAAGATATCCCACGTTCATGTACTGGAAATCTTAATATTGTAAAGATGGTAATACTCCCCAAATTTGTCTTCAGATTCAGTGCAATGCCTATCAAAATCCCAACTGCCTATTTTGCAGAAATTATCAAGATGATCCAGAAATACATATGGAGATGTGTGAGACCCAGAATAGTCAAAACAATCTTGACAAATAACAAAGTTGGAGGACTTACACTTCATTTCTAAACTGACTACAAAGCTAACAGGAATCAAGACTCTTACTGAAATAAGGATAGACATATATAGATCAATGGAATAGAATTGAGAGTCCTAAAATGTGGGAAATTAATTTTTAAAAGTTGGTGGCCAATTTAGGTTATGGCCAATTGATTTTTAAAAAACAGACTTTATGTTTCAAGGCAGTTTTGTGTTCACAAGAAAATTGAGCAGAAGGTTGAGTTTCCCTATACCCTTAGGCCCTACACAAGCACAGCCTCCCTACTATCAACATCCCCCACCAGATTGGTACATTTGTTATAATTGGTGAACCTACATTGACACATCGTTATCACCTAAATCCTATGGTTTACACTAAGGTTCACTCTTGGTGGTGTACATTCCATGGTTTTGACAAATGCATAATGACGTGTACACACTATTACAGTAAGCTCTAAGAATCCTCTGTGCTTCAGCTATTCATCCCTCCCTCCCACTAACCCCTGGAAACCACTGATCTTCTCACTGTCTCCACAGTTTGGCCTTTCCAGAAGGTCATATAATGGGAATCAAGTGATACAGTATGTAGCCTTTTCAGATTGGCCTTTTTCCTTAGTAATATGAATTTAAGGTTGTTTTATGTCTTATCATGGCTTGATAGTTCCTTTATTTTTAGCACTTTGTAATATTTCTTCTCTGGCTGGACCATAGTTTATTTATCTATCCACCTACTGAAGGGCATCTTGGTTGCTTCCAAGTTTTAGCGATTATGAATGAAGCTGCTGTCAACTTCCATGTATAGGTTTTTGTGTAGGCATAAATTTTCAACTAATTTGGGTAAATGCAAGGAATGTGGTTGCTGAATCCTATGGTAAAATTATGTTTAGTTTGTAAGAAACTGCCAAGACATTTTCCAAAATGGCTGTATCATATTGCTCTCCCACCAACGATGAATGAGTGTACCTGTCAGTCTGCATCTCCAGCAACATTTGCTGTCATCAATGTATTGGATTTTTGCCATTCTAACAGGTGTGTAGTGGTACATCATCATTGTTTAATTTACAATTCTCTAATGATGTAGGACGTGGAGTATCTTTTCATAGGCTTATTCACCAACTGTATATCTTTTTTGGTGGGGTATCTGTTCAGATTTTTTACTCATTTTTAATTGAGTTGTTACTCTTCTTATTGTTGATTTTTAATAGTTCTTTATTTTGGATAACAATCCTTTATCACATATGTCTTTTACAAATATTTTCTTCTAGTCTATGCCTTGTCTTCTCATTCTCTTGATGGCCAATTGATTTTTGACAAGAGACCCAAAACAACCCAATGGGGAAACGATAGTCTTTTCAACATGCTATGCTGTAAAAACTGGACATCCAGATGCAAATGAATGAAGTCAGACTCCTACCTCACACCAGATGCAAAAATTAGCTCAAAATGGATCAAAGAGCTAAATCTAAGAGCTGAAACTACACAGACAGACCTTGGGGATATTGCAGGTTCCATTCTAGATCACTACAATAAAATTAATGTCACAATAAAGTGAGTCACATGAATTTTTTTGTTTCCTAGTGCATATAAAAATTATGTTTACACTATACTGTAGTCTATTAAGCGTGCAAAGCATTATGTCTAACAAA